TGCAGGAAGCTGTTGTTTATCCACCATATGTTGCCTTTGCGGTGAGGCCAAATCAAGCATTCTGGGAATTTGTAAAAGTGAGTTCTTTGGATCTCTCTGTTGAGAGTATCTCCCCCATTGACTACTTGAAACTTAAAGAAATGGTGTATGACGAAAGTTGGTATGTTTCTTCTTCTTCTTATTCCTGATATTCTGATCGTGTTTTATGTTAGAAAGAGAGAGAAAATAATAGGAAATATCGGGAAAATATAATCATTCCCTAGAAATGCCTACATGACATTAATATGGTAAAAATTTTAAATAATATAATTTCCATTCATATATTGTGTTAACAGAATCATGTCTCTAGAATTGATAAATGTTCAAACTCTATACCACATGAATATGAAGGTCTTCTGTAATGGTCTTATTGTTACCAGTGTAAGACGTATGCTTGAAGTGTGTGTTGATAATTATCACTGATCTCATATCGTAGGGCAAATGACGAAAACGCATTAGAAGCAGATTTTGTAGCGTTTGACAGCAAAATCCCTCATTTGGCACACCCTTCTTCAATTGGGAATGGTCTCAGCTTTGTGACCAAGGTCTTATCATCCAAGTTGAGTGAGAAAGCGGCGAAAAAACAGACCTTAGTTAACTACTTGTTAGCACTGAATTATCGAGGAGAAGTAAGAGCAAAGAACATGAGCCATGAGATTAACTGAATCCACAACACATTTTTTGTTGAAGAATTTTAAGGGCCCATGTTCATTTTCCTTGTGTAATCTAAATTGACAGAGTTTATTGATTAATGAAACGCTGGGTTCTGCTGCAAATCTTCAGCTGGCATTAGTAGGGGCTGATACATTCCTCTCATCACTTCCTATGGACACTCCATATGAGAATTTTGAGCCACAGTAAGTCTTCTATTATTCTGTTGAAAAGGTATAGGATGGTATAATTTTTTTATTATAATTTATTAGACTTTGAACCCTTAACACTACTTATGTTTCTACCTCACTCTTACCAATCTGACTATTTATAAGCGGTCTGGATGTTGTGATTTAACATCAATTTAATATTTCATTCATAGGTTCAAGGGAAAGGGCTTTGAGAGTGGTTGGGGAGATACTGCAGGAAGAGTGAGGGAGACAATGAGAATCCTATCAGAAGCACTACAAGCACCAGACCCAGTGAACCTGGAGAAGTTTTTTAGCCGTATTCCCACTATTTTCAACATAGTGATATTCTCTGTTCATGGTTATTTTGGGCAAGCAGATGTTCTTGGCTTGCCAGATACAGGAGGCCAGGTAGGAATTTAGCTTTACTATAATTGGCTAGATTTAGAGTGATTGGGATCAAACTCTTGATCTTTGCCAAGTAGGTTGTAATGCATATATGATAACCAATCAATCCAATTTTTGATCTCCATGTTTCTCATATCTTGAACAGGTAGTGTACATATTGGATCAAGTTAGGGCTTTGGAAGAAGAACTGCTCCTCAGAATTAGGCAACAAGGTTTACATATGAAGCCTCAGATTCTTGTGGTAAGTTACTTAAGCTGCAAAAAATAATCTCATTGTACATGCATACAACATATTCTTTAATAGAATAATTAAGTATTTTTCTGATCTTGACAGGTTACAAGACTCATACCCGATGCCCGAGGAACCAAGTGCAATCTGGAGTTGGAACCTATCAATGATACTAAGCACTCCTTCATTGTACGTGTGCCTTTTCAGACAGACAGAGGGCTCCTGCGTCAGTGGGTTTCTCGCTTTGACATTTATCCCTATCTCGAGAGGTTTACTCAGGCATGGGCATTTGTTTGATAATCACTACCTTGGTTTTTTTCTTAACTTCAAAGAACTTCACTTTGATTGCTTCCTTTGTTCATACTATTAGGATGCTACTGCCAAGATTGTGGAATTCATGGAAGGGCCACCGGATCTTATTCTTGGAAATTACACCGATGGGAATTTGGTAGCGTCTGTGATGGCTAGTAAACTAAACATAACTCTGGTCTGGTCACTATCCCTTTAAGTTTCCCTCTCAATGGTTTTTGCGGCCGTAAGGACGTCTTCTCCGTCACGTGTACTAATTCCTCAGCTTCCTTGAAAATCAGGGAACAATAGCTCATGCTTTAGAGAAGAATAAGTATGAAGATTCAGATGTCAAGTGGAGGGAGTTTGAAGCAAAGTACCATTTCTCATGCCAATTCATGGCCGATACAGTTGCTATGAATGCAGCAGATTTTATCATAACTAGCACATACCAAGAAATTGCGGGAAGGTTAGCTTACCTAGCTTTGTACATGTACATTAGAAAAAAAAAACAAGTTATTTTTCAAAGCCATGCTGTATAAATTGACGATTTGTTTTGCATACATAAAAGAGCATACTGATATAGTTCAGTAGGTTGTACACATAAAATTAATGCCCATATGTCTAAGTAGAAATATAATGAATTTTCAAAGTTCTTGTCTGCAGCCAACTTAGATGTGGACAGTATGAAAGTCATACTGCATTTACGCTCCCAGGACTGTGTAGGGTTGTAGGGGGGATAAATCTAACTGATCCAAAGTTCAATATAGCTGCACCTGGAGCTGACCAGTCTGTCTATTTCCCTTACACCGAGAAAGACAGAAGACTCACTCAATTTCACCCAGCCATTGAGAACTTGTTGTATGGTAAATCAGAAACCAGTGAGCATATGTAAGTAATCTAGACACCACTCCTATACATTCATTGTTAGATTATCAAATACGATATGAATAACTATTTTCTTCCAAATAACTTCTTCTTTTCTCTGAATTCTAAAAACAATGCAAAAACAGTGGGTATCTTGTAGACAGGAGAAAACCCATCATGTTCTCAATGGCAAGGTTGGATGCTGTGAAGAACTTAAGGGCTAGTTGAGTGGTTTGGAAGGAGCAGGAGACTCAGAAACTTGGTGAACCTTGTCATAGTTGGAGGTTTTTTTGACCCTTTGAGATCAAATGATAGGGAAGAAAAGGAAGAAATAACCAAAATGCATAATTTGATTGAGAAATACCAACTAAGAGGTCAATGCAGATGGATTGCTGCACAAACTGATAGGTATCACAATGGAGAGCTCTATCGCTGCATTGCTGACACAAAGGGAGCTTTCGTGCAACCCGCATTATATGAAGCATTCGGTCTTACAGTCATTGAAGCAATGAACTGTGGGTTACCCACCTTCGCCACTAAACAAGGAGGTCCAGCAGAAATCATCGTCGATGGGGTTTCTGGGTTTCTTATTGATCCCCTTGATGGGAATGAATCAAGCAACAAAATTGCTGATTTTTTTGAAAAATGCAGAGTAGATCCTACACAATGGAGCAGGATTTCTGCGTATGGATTACAGCGGATCAATGAGTGGTAAACATCAAACAAGATCCATTGTTTCTTGTGCGTCCGCGATGATTAGATGATTAAAAATTTTTGATTTTGATTTTGTAGTTATACGTGGAAGATCTATGCGAACAAGGTGCTGAATATGGGAAGTATTTACACCCTGTGGAGGCAAATGCACAAGGAGGAAAAGATGGCGAAGCAGAGATACATCAACACTTTCTATAATCTTATATTCAAAAAACTGGTAAGGCCAATAGAGTTGGTTCTGAAAGAGTGAACATGTGATGCGATAAAATTCTGAGATGGAACTTAATGTTACAGGCTACGACTGTACCAATTGTAAGAGATGAACCTCAACAACCAGTGTACAGGCAGGCTATCACACAACAACGGCCAAGGCAAGTCATCACTCATAAAGAGCATTTCATTTGATTAAAAAATTAGTTTTCCAAAAAAACGTGGCTGCTTTCATCATTGATCTAATATATATAAATTTTGTTTTTGTACACAGACGTTCTCAGTCCAAATTTGAAAGGTTAGAACTTAGAACAAAACAAAATAAATTTTGGATTAGCTTATTATGGTTTACAACAACTAACTTAGTTTTGGTTTCTTTTCAGGTTCTTTCGGTTTTAATGGTCTGAGCAACAAGGTCTGTAGCATCCAAAAAGAGATTGCTATTGACAACCTTGGCACGTTATATATTTGTGTTTGGCCAAATTTATATGCCCTTTACGTAACTTTTATCTTTTTTAATCAAAATTATGAGCTCTGTATGAGTTGCAAGACGGCAACTACTTCATGTTATGAATAAATGTGATAGTTTGAGAAATCTTTCTAAATGGGGAGAATTTCATTCAACGATCAGCGATCCAATAAAATCTGAAATTATGCCGCAAGACTAAAGAACTAAACTAAAATCATTTTTATAAAAAATAACCAAAATGCCTTTCTATTAGACTAAATTGTATAACTTTATTTATTAATTTTTCAACAAAACTTGTCAACTATTTAATTTTATTTGTTAAATCCATAAGCCTCTCAATTCAGTTATATCACTTGCTTTACTTGTTAATTCTTCAATAAAACTTATTAATTACTTAACTATTACTTATTAAATCCATGACTCTTTCAGCCTAATTGTATTACTTATTAATCACATAATTTTACTTATTAATTTCGCACCAATATTTGTTAATTTTATAACTTCACTTGTTAATACCATATAACAAAATGAAAGGCATTTTGGTCATTTTTTATAAAAAAAAAAATTCAATTAATCTTTTGATCTTGCAGTGTAGTTTCAGATTTTATTAGGTCTAACATATGACTAAGTTATATTCCTGATTCTTAAATGAAATTCTTTCTTCTAAATAAGACTTTTTATCATATCTTTGTTTTTTTTTTTTTTTTGGCTGGGGGGTGATAATAAATGAAGAAGGTTCTCAGGATTTAAGTAACAGTTGAACTGCTGGAAATTCGTATCGAAGGGGAAAAAGTGGCCATGGAAGATAAAAAATACGTGAAACTATAAAATCTGATCGTTTATATATAATAAGGTTAGATCTCTGGACGTTTAACATTTTAATCATTCTGAATAAATAACAATAATGGTTGCCATGAAAAACATTTGAGTTTTAAACTGGAGGATAGAAAATAGTTCACTATTGTCATCTGATTGAGGAAAACGATGTTACATTCTAGCCTTTAGGTATATGCTGTGATAAGTGCAAAAAACATAACAATAACGAAAAAAATGTATATATCCTATATTTTGAAAATCAAATTTAAAAAGAATAGTATTAACCAAAAAGACCTATCTTTGAAGCAGAAACACAATCATCCGCAGGCTACTATTGTAGGTTCCAATGCAATGGAAGCGTCCCTCTCACACGTTTCAGAACCAATATCTGAAGGTCCTTCTCCCTGTAAGATGATGTCAAAAATTGAGGTTTAGAAAATAAAAGGAAAGGGAAAAAGAAATTCCCATTTCACAGCTTATTAAAATTTGAATGAATAATACAAAAATTTACCTTTGCGAGATTCCTAAAGTATGTTGTGCTGTAATTTCCAGTGGGAAATAAAACTTCAATAAGATCGGCTAGTACCAATTGAGGTTGAGAGACTCCTCCATTGAACCAGTCTTCGCATGTAGAAGATCACACGCAATTTGCAATTATCAATTAGATTTCTCCTTTCATTACACACACGAGGGGAAAAAAAGTCAAATTTATGACCCTTTAAATTAACTTATGTAGTTATGTACTTGAAATGAATAAACAATTTTCACGGAAAACTTATGAGTTATGACTGCAATGGATTATATTTGACAAAGGCGAGAAACCAGAACAACTTACCCAGAGTTGCATTATTTTGAATCCTTTTGTCATGTCTCCATAAGCTTGTATTTGTGAGAAAGGAGAAACAAGAATGATCTTCAACTTTCAAATTTTGGAGAAATGTTGATACTGTATAGTTGAATGGATCAAAAGTTAATGTTTCATCAATCACCACTTCCACAGTCTGCATCAAGAAATAAGATTATATAAATTGTTGAGAAACTTAAATAACAGGCAAATTGAATAGAAAAAATTGAATACAGATATGAACTAAACTTGCTTTTTAATGAATATGTATTTATGAGAATTAATTCTCCAGAAGGAGCAAATGAACACAATGTAATCATAAGAATGCATGGATAAATGGTTGGTAGGCTGTTGAAATTAAAACATTAGCAAGCGGAGCACAAAATGAATATGATATAACAATCTCAAGGTCAAAATTCATAATTGTGGGACGTCCAAAAGATCAATTTTCTTTCTTAGATATTAAAAAAGGGACCAGGCATTAGAGGATATGATATTTATCCATGCCTTATTATGTACAACTTTAGATTCAACTAAGTAGACAAGAAAATTTGATTAGAGGTTCTATCATATCTTTTAACTTAACTGCAGTAACTTACACATAAGATGGCATGCAGTTCGTCCAGATCATCAGGATCAGAGACATTATAAGAGTTCTTGTTTGCATCAAGCTTTTCTCCACCAGCATCTTCCACATACTGCATGCAATGTTAGTGTGCAAAGTAAGGGAAGAGTTTATGTGATGCATAATAACAATGTTTTGTCCCTGTTCAGAAACATCATCTCATTTTCTAATTGCTATGCTAATTATCTACAGTTCTCTTCATACCTTCAACTTATACGCGTTCTTTGAAAAAGCCCAAACGCCCTGAAAAAAGAATATACATAAGTCCTGAATTTAAAAAAAAAAAACAGAATCTGGGAATGATTAGGAGATAAATAATATTTGAAATAAGAGTCAGAGCTTCTGGGGATACATACATCAGAATACTTCATCCATGCTACTATTGGTTTAAAGGATGTTCGATTGTTTGTGATGTTAGCCAAGCACAAATAGTTCTCCTTAATCTGTACAATAACAAATCATTGGTTTTTAGAAGTTATCAGAAAATTCAATCAGTTACAAAAACTTTTGCATGACTAACTATGTAAAAATGATAGAGAAATTTGCAAGTGCAATTTAAAACTGAAACCCAAAAAACATTCAACTATAGAAAAACTTGGAAATCCTTCTGTTTTAATTTTATACAGTCTAGCAGAGTATGAGTTGCCCGTCTTCCATTGGACCAAGAAACAGAAAAAGCTTCACGACTACAGAATTACAAAGATGAAAATAATTTTCATAAAGAAACAAGAACCTCCCCCTATTTTAAACTTAGTTAAGCCTCGGACTGAGTGGAGTGCTTACCTTAGAATACACTTGATTGGCTCTAGCTTCTTCATTTGCATATGCTCCCATGAATTTGATCCATTCTGCTCTCTAAAAAAGTGCATGTACCAAATAGTTAATAATTCCAAGCACAGACAATACACTACCGTGATAAGTTGATAGGTTAATATTTAACAATATCAATAGTAAAATGTAAGCACTTAATGTGGATGCCATAGTTCTTGGGGTCTTTACAGAGTAATGTCGAATTTTTACTTGCCTGCAAAGGAGTGTCTTCTGAAAAAGGGACAAATGTGGCAAAATTGCATGCTGGTAGATGATCAGCATCACCAGAGAAATGAGCTGCAAACTGTGCAAGCTTTTCTTCGTCAGTCTTGTTGAACATTTCTATTTGACCATCTTGGTATAATTTTAGAACGCATTGAGAAGCCACCAAGTCTGATGTTATGCCTTTCAAGCTCCCTAGCAAGCCTAGAAGCTATCCATGACATGAAAGGAGGGAAAAATAAGAAGGCCAATCATTTATGCTAGTAAGACACTTCCATCTTGACAATTAAACTCCAAGAAGGCTGAAAAGGCTAGGCAATCTTACCTCTAAGAAGGAAACTGGAGTTTCACCCCAAGGAGGCAAAAGAAAGAAAAGGAAAGCGTTAATGCATTAGTTTTTCTAGAGAAAAATAAAATTGCTTCTGATGTTATGCGGTAGCAAACTAAAGTCAAGCAAAAAAGTAGAGAATGCATAGAGGCAGGGATTTGCATAGAAGGGATTGCCTGGAAATGAATCGGTATCAACTGAATAGTTTGACAATGGAATCACAAATGATTTGATTCTTGATGTGCAATATTTGGTCCTTGATGCAATCCTTGTATTATTCTGCCAACGAGAAATTTTCTCAATATAATTATCAATATAAGAAGGAAAAGTATTGGACATCTAGCATAAGTTTCCCGGAAGTAGGCAATCTTTGTTTTGGGGTCGCCAGCTAAGAACAGCGAAATATCTTTCGCGCATTATATAAATAGTAAAAAGTATTATTATCCACATTGCCAATTATGTTCCTACAATCTGATTTGATCTGTGTTACAAAGTGCACTTAATTCAACTGAAATTGCCATATTGTCCTCTTCATTATAACCAAAAAGAACCAAAAACTAAACAGAAATATCTTCCAGTGTCCTATATACTATCTTTTCAAAGGAATTCGAGAACAAAAGAAAGCAAGTAATTTCCAATGGCTTCTCAATCAGGATCTATCATTCTGAAATTTTAAGATGCAAAAAAAATAATGCAGAATAAATTTTGTCCCCCAATTATTTCCCAAATAGGAGCCTAGTAGCCTAGAAGTCAGTACTAAACCCCACCGCCATTGCCTCGTGCCTCCATTGTTGATTACAGAAAGAAAACGGGGAAGAGAAGAGGATAGGGAGGATACCTGGAGAAGAAGGTAGCTGTGGGCATCAAGAGCATTCTTTATGACTTTGAAGGTCTGGCCATAGTATAAATGAAAGTTCACAGCATCTTCCACCTTCGAGAAGTCTCCCACTTTCACCATGCTTACCTCCTCAGCGCCTCCCCATTCCAATGAACAGGCCAATTCCAGGAGGCGGAAGAGGAGGAGGAGGAAGATTTGCAGAGAGCAAGAAGCAGCAGCTGTTGAAGCCATAAGCTTGCCAAAACAGAGCTCTCTCTCTTTTTCTTTCTTTCTTTTTTTGTTTTTTTTTTTAGCCAAGACCAGGCACTTACCACTACATAACTGAGGAGCTTGTTTATTTAAGCCAGGGGCCTCGTTACTCTTACGGCATACGGACAAGGGATAAAGCTCCTCAACTTTCCGGGCAATAACAATCATTAACCAGCTATTTAGAGCAACAAGAGAAAGAAAATGACCAGCTTTTTGGGATGGTTTGGTAATTTGGCTCGGTGGTGGCAATGGGGATAACTTTTTCTTGATATTATTTTAAAAAAAATTGACAATACAATAAAAATAAATAATAATTTAGTTCTTCCAAAATCACAATTTTTCATAAATTTTTAAAAAATTTTATCATTAATAAATTTATATAAATTATTAAATTATTTTTATTAAAAAAATAATTTATAAATTTTGTTTAAAGATTTATAATTTTTTTTATATCCGTAATAATACAACAGTAAATTATAATTTTATATATTAAATTTTTATTTAATATTGCGTTAAAAATAAATGATTTGCAAAATTTATTTATATATTTTAAAGAAATTTTATTTTATTTTTATTATTTAGCAAGAATGGGAGAGAAACAGTTAAGTGACTCGTGAACCCGGGGATGGATTATTTTGTCATATTCTTTCCAACATGCTTATCCTTTTTCTTTTTCACTGAAGCCATGGATCAAGCATGTGCTGTGCACTCACCTCGACCCAACCCAACCACCACATTCACGCTCCTCCCCGCCTTGCTCTCGTGTTGAAGGCCTGCCAGGCAGGACCCATCAACAAAGAAATGAAAAGGATGGAATGGGCATGAACCGGGGGCGGGGGGATTCGAAATAGTACATTGTCAGATCAGCATGTTTGTAGGCAGGGCGCATATCATTTAAATAATTAAAATTCATATCATTATTTTAAATAAATCTCTTTATTTATTAATTTTAAATAAAGTATAAATTTAAAGTTATTGATTTAGATTTCAGTTATTTAAATAAAATACAGCTGTGGAATCCAAATATTTTAAAAAGGGATTAAACAATGACGCGAAGGATCGTATACAATTATAGTGTGTGGTGAAAGTGGGCATGTGACCGTGCCTTCTCCTGATGCATTTGGACTCTCGTCTCGTGATTGTAGCTCTAGGAAAGGAATCCTCTCGGGTTAAAATGTTACACTGAGTAATCTTTTCTTGAGATCTGCAATATATTGGTTCTCAGGGAACACGCAACGTGCTTTCTCGCCGATTTGAGAGCGTGTTAAGTTTTTAGTTTGTAAAAAAATTATTTGTGAAAAATCAATTTATGTTGAGATATAATTTTTTCAAAAGTCATTTTAATAAAATGGAAATTATTTAAGGAAAAATATAATAAAATTTCTCTAAAATATATAAATGATGATTTGATTTCTCAAAATATCATAATTTCACTTAAGTTCTTACAGACTTTATTGTCATTAATAAATTTTTATAAATTATTAAATTGTCCTTATTAAAAATAAATGATTCATAAATTTTATTTAAATATTAACAGCTTTATGTCTCATATTTCCTGCTGCATTTTATAAATATATATATATATATATATATTCGATATAATATAAATATTTCAACAAATATATTTATATTTAATTTTATATGTATATAATAATAATAATATATATTAAGTTTTACTCGTCGATTTTCATGATATAAAAATTATCAGTTATTATGTCTACAATAAATGTTTTATCAATTTTTTTCAATCTAAATTATCATTAAATTCATGAAAATTTTATCATTTTTATGAGCATTAAATAATTTAAATACATCATTAGAATCTAAAGTTTTATTTAATATAATAAGTTATATTACTTGCTTATTAAATTTATTATTTAATTTTTTCAATTAATAATTGTAGTAAACAAATATATTAACACATTAATAATGCTCGACTATCATAAAATTTTTATGTCAGTGATATCAAATCATATAAGAGTAAAAATCATTCATATTATAAATTTCAATAGCTTGATTACTTTTAAAAAAGTAATTTTTAAAAAAGACATCTTCACCAAGTCTCTTAATTTTTAGATAAGTGATTTTATAATAAATATTAAGTATATGACATTCACCATATCTTGGGATCTATTGCAATACTTAACAAAGTTTGTTAATAACAATTTTTACAATTTCTTTCATTAAATATAAAATTTAAGAGCATGTATAGTATTATCTTGTTAAAAATGAATAAATTCTATAATAACTATATCTTCAAACTACTAAAATAATTGCTTTATACTTTTATAAAAGATTACATATAAAATAAAATGAGAATTTAATCTAATGTTTCATAACTTCTATAATGTGTCAATCTATAGGAGCCAAAAATATATAAACCCTACATTTAACTAAGAAAAAATTAAAAAGTTATGAGAGTTGTGGCCTCTGCTAGTCCCCCCTTTTTTCACCCTTGAATTTACTTGTTAAGGTATTTTAAAATATATATATATTAATTATATTTTAAAATCTTAAAAATATCTTACATCTTATTGATAAGGAATTATGCAATTGTTGTTATTAATACTTCTAGAGCCAAATTTGTATATATAATTCTTAATAATTTTGTATTTCAAATAAAATAATTAAAAAATTCATAATCAAATAAGATTGGGATAACAACTAAAAATGTTCAGCTTTTGGTATTTTAACTTTTTTTTTAATATAAATACTGAAAGACTTCGTTCCATCTAAAGGGAGTATACAAACAGATAACACCTAAAGACAACATGGTCTTTTGACTTTTAACTACCTAATCATAACATAATTAATTTTAAATAATTTTTGTATAAATTATTGTTATTTAAAAGAAGATTAAAATTTATGAAATTCTCATAAACTTTGAAACAATTACGTATAACCCCCTCACTTTTTAAAGTTTAAAATTAATCCCCCTAATCTTTAATTTTATTTTTGAAAACCTCCTATCATTAATTCTGTTATTCTTTCATAAGGGTTAAAATATTATTCAACTAAAAAATGTTATTAAACAAAATGTTATACTGTAGAACTATAGCTAATTAATTTTTTATATTTTTTAGATAGTTGAGGCATTGATAATACCCAAAATAAATGTTATTATCACCACATAAAATTTTAAATATTTACTTTTGTGTTAGTTTTATCTATTTTTTATCAGTTTTATCTATTTTTTATCAACGGTGCATAATTTTTTAATATTAAAAGATAAATTATTCTAACATAATAATATTTAAAATTTTAAATATTTTAACCATGTGCATTATATTAATCTAACATGAAAGCATAAATAAAAATTTATCTTTTAATCGCGCATCATCGATGACAAAAAATATGAATAAAATTAATATAAACATAAATATTTAAAATTTTAGACAATGATAATAACATTTTTTTGTTAATAATACCTCAACTATCTAAAAAATATAAGAAATTTATTATAAATAATTATATAATATAATATTTTTATTTAATAATATTTTTTAGTTGAACGACATTTTAACCCTAATGAAAAAATAACATAATTAATAATAAAAAATTTTGAAAAACAAAAGGAAAGGTTGGAGGGTTAATTTTAAATTTTTAAAAATGAGAAACGTTATATGCAACTGTCTAAAAATTTAGGAAGTTTTATATATTTTAGTCTTAAAAAATTAAATTTAACATATCATAATTTGAGAATCTTTAGTCAATATTTAAAATCTAATGTAAAAATTTTTATTAATAAAACTAATTGTGTTAGTTAAAAAATGAAGGGGCACTTTATAAAAAATGAAAATCTATATAACGTTAGATGACCAGAATTGCACTTTAAACAAAATATTTTATAACATTGACAGTCATCATTAAATAGTAAATATTTTAGTGTTTTTAAAATAATATAAAATTTAATTAAATGAATTTATTTGTTGCTGCAAATCTTCGACTCGAATTTGAGAGTCATGGTTAAATTAGATTGAAAGAGAATGACAGAGAGATCTCAAAATGATCAATTAATTTAAATTAAGTTTCAAATATTAAACTTTAAAAATTTATAAGTTCCTATCTCAATTTTGTAATTTTATTGTGATGGATTTACAACTTGCCTTCCAAGTTTTAATATGGTTTGTTAAAATTTTAAATACAAGCTGCAACTATATCATAGCAAAATTATAAATTAAGAATCAAACTTACAAATTCTTAATATTTGATACTTAAGATTTAAATTAACTGGGGACCTTTTTGCTATTCTCTCCCTTGGATTAACCCTCAGCCAACTGAGATTAAAGCACTCAGTGGCATTACTAATTTCATTTATTCAAGCAACTTAAAAAAGGGGGGGATATTTTATAAAATGTATCTATTTTATAAATTAAAATTCAAATTAGATATGTTATTTTAAAGTTGGCTATCCATCATGAATCATTGATTATGATAATTTTATCTATTTTAAACTATTATATATGTGTGTGTGTGTGTGTGTGTGTGTAATTTTAACTGTGATTATAACGTTAGAAAAGGAACGACTAGAGCATGGAAGCGTGTTAATTCCTCCCACGTCGCTTCTCTCACCTTCAACTGTCATGTGCTCGCCCCTGCCCTCTTGCTTGACGCTGGCTCCCGCAGAGTCACCTGCCAACGCCGCCTTGTCCCTGTCGTCTCTCACCTCGCACAAACGCAGGTCCCTCTCGCCATTGCCCTCAAGGTCCCTCTCGTCAGTTGGGTTGACACTTGAAACTATGGAGTTGAATCAAATCGAATGAAGTTATGGAGCTGAAACTCTTGACAATGTGTTCTTTTGCAAGTTTTCTTTTTTGTTTAAATTAAAATAGATAGCAGTATCTTAAAATCACAAGCAGAAGGAGCAATATTTCCTTCTTTTTTTTTAAAAAAAAAAAAACCTTGTAAAACTCAATGGAATGAATACAGACAGATTAAAAAACATTCCTTCCTTTTAAATTATAAGATAATTTTAAATAAAATCGTACATACAAATAAAACTCATTATATATACTCTACAATCTTATTTTTTAAGACAAAAGTATAAATTTTAAAAATATTATTTATTTAATATTGATAAAAATATTAAAAAGAGATAATATATAAAAAAGATAATATTAACAAGTGTCATTAATAAAATTTTATGTTTATTAAAATATTTTATATTTTAAAATATTGAATATTCTTTAAAAATGTTTTATAATTTGAGAGAAAAGGGGTAAAATGAAAATCACAAGGCGGGCGATAGCGATTGTTTTCATTGATATTCACGATAATGGCGGTGATAATTCACATGACTGGAAAAAAGCGAGAGTCTTACTGGAGAATATGTGTAGAAATAGTCGAGATCGCTTATCAAGGGCCTCTGTTCTGGTTTAAGTAGAGCCGGTAGTTCAGGTCAAGCCTGACAGGTTAGTCCGAATTGACCCAAAAAATTTTAGAACCGAGCTTAAGAAAAGATATTTTTTTTATGTTCGGCCGAAAAAATTTGGGCCAAGCCCGATCGGGTTCGGGCTTGACCCGAATACCCAAATAAAAAAATTATATTTTTAAAAAATACATATAATATAATAAATATTAATTAATTCTTTAAGTTTTATATTATTTTATACTAAAATACCATATATTTGAGTCCTAGACATCATTTAAGTATTAAAAAAATATATTTTATATTTTTTATAAAATAAAATAATTAATTTTAAAGTAAAAAAATAATTAAAAATAATTTTAAAAATTAAATTTGGGTATTCGGGCTGCCCAAAGCTCTAAGTAATTCAGGCCGGGCTTGGCTATTCGAGCTTTTCGAAGAGTTGGGCCTGTTCGGGTCCGGGCTTATTCGGGCCGGGCCCAAATAAAGCCCGGTCCGCTCGAATTTCTGGCTCTAGGTCTAAGTAAGGCACGGCTTTATCTATCTAATAAAGATAATAGGCTTTTGATCTATTTACTTGAAGCCTAACTTATGAACTTGCTGGGTTATCTATTTATATTTTTATATTATATTTATATATATAACAACACATATCTGTATACAAATATTTACATAAACATTATCATGCGATGTACAAATAAATAAATAAATATATATATATATATAATTAAGATGAATTGCATCGTATTATTTTAAAATTTTATTTTTATAAGTTGAAAAATAAACTAATAAGTGAAGTAAGGTTTCCATTTTATATTATATTAATTAACTATTATCATGAATACGTGGTTTAAAAAAAAAAATAACAATCATCGCGTATGAAAGTAAATAGTAATCCCTCCTTTATATAAATATAAATAGTCCCACTTTCAGTTGGAGAAGAGGTTGCTTTTTTTCCCACGTTACTAAACTTTATTCTGAATTATGTATTTATTTAATTTTTCGAAGTAATACTCCGTTGGTGTATTTGGATTAAGATCGAATTTTGTCAGCGAAGCATTAACAAATTATTATTTTACTAAACTCCATCCCAAAATTTTGGATTTATCTAGGGTGTCCCGAATTGCTAGCTTAAAAAAATAATATCATGATTATATATATTGATATTGATGAGAGGGTGAGGATAGTTTGCACTCTACATGAGAGTGGAAATTGGCAATAAATCAAGGAGACTTACATTGTCAAAGGTATGCGTCCTAACCTGTCTCTTTTTTTTCCCCTTGAAAAAAAAGGATAGCCCACCAGATCTGCTTGTTTAAATACATGGATCTAGCACATTTATTTAAAATTAACTAAAGTTAGCGTGAGTATCAAGGCTCTTATCACTCAAATAGCTTGACCTATAAGTTCATCAGGTTCACATATTTATATAATTTTAGGATTTTTTTAATTTTAATTTTCACTTTAAAATTAATTATTTTTATTAAAAAATGAAATACATCCTTGGGATATTTAAAAAAACGTAAAAAACTTAATCGTAGGCCTTAATTCTTAAAAGTCAATATTAAAATATTTTAAAATATTTTTTGAGATATTTTACAGATTAAAAATAATAAAAATATAACAATATAAATATTTTTAAAATTTAAGAAGATATTTATAATAATGTATTTAAATATATCAACTCTCCATATAAAATGAGCCAAAAAATTACATGTTCAAATTTTACTGTTGATTTAAGAACTTTGTTATTGAGCAATTTATAACTGTCTCTTTTAAAGTGTATTCAGTTAAAATTTTTGGAGGGAAAGGGATGGGAAGAGAGAAGAGTTGCTCCTCTTCCCTTATTTGATTAGTACCTAATAAAGAAAGGAGAGGAGAGCCCTTGTTTGATTTACAAAATTAAAGCTCCCCCTCTTCCTTTCAATTTGAGATTTTTTTTATAAAGAGAGAGGACAGAGAAAATAATTTAAAATGATTTAAACATTTATTTTAAAAATCTTAAACTATCTTTGATGTTAAAAGATTATGTATTATTTTTCTATCTCTCTTTTTTATAATAAAATAAATTTTATCATCTTACAAAATTTAATATATAATTATTTTTTGTATAAAATTTTAATTTTTTTCTTTAGACTCACTAATAAAATATAACATTAATGTATTCGTTCTTCAATTTTTTTTATTAATATAAGTTTATATTCTTAAAATAAAAAATTAATAAATTATCATGTAATAGTTTTTTTCAAGGCAAAAAATAAAAATCAAGTTAAATTTGATAAAAATAAATTTATTAACTTATTTTTTATTTTCCACCTCTCCTCTCTTAAACCACATAGAGGTTTATTAAAACTCTTCCCATCTCCTCCCTTCCCTTCTCTTCAATAAAATTCATCATTTTTTTTAAACCAAATGTATCTTAGTGTTTTTACGCAAAAACAACTTAAAAACTTGAAAAAGAAATAACTTAAAAATTATTTAAAAAAAGATACTTTTTTATTTAAAAATATAAATATTTTTAATTAAATTTCATGCCAACAGAGTAGTTATCTATTTTTAAACTAATATTATCTTTTTATATTAATTTTTATTAAACACCTTATAATAAATATAAGATCATTTATTAATATGGATATTTAAAAAAAAATAATTACATATTAAAAGATTAAAAATATTTTATATTTTTAACATTTAAGTTTAAACAAAAATATTTTATATTTTTGAACGTAACAAGTAAGCAAAATGATTTAAAGGGGAAGGAAAACAAATCAAACAATTTGCGTGAAATTCAAGTTTCCAACGGTAAAACAACATAGAATTAAATCCAAGTTAAGTCACGCTTCGCGGTATAAAAGATGAAGTTGCTTGTTCTCCACGCCTGTACTCAGTTCAACATAAGTGCGTAACGGACAATTTTTAACAAATTAATTATTAATTAATTAGTGATTTGATTTTCTTTTTATTCCGATCGATAATTTATCAGCGTGCTTTCTCAGTCATCTCCTTATTCTGCCTGATCCCGTCCATCGTAGCCGCTTTCTTTTGGGTTTGGCGCTCGGATGCAAGCTCGTTCTCTCCAGTCTTCACCATCCTCTCTCGTCTTCACCGGTCCACGCGACTCCTCCTCCCATTCTCTCGCCTCATATTCTCACTTACACGAACCCGAGTGCGGCGAGGCTCAGTCCTTCAAAGACGACCGAGCCGAACTCCGAAGACGGCCTTTCTTCTCGTTCGAGTGCGGCGACCTCCAAAGACTACTACTCAGACCTTCCAGTGCGGCGAGGCTTAGAAGGCTTTCTCTACCCCCTTTCTTCTCGTTTTTCCTCCGAAGACACCTTCGAAGACCAAACTAAAAGCACCTCCGAAGCCCAAAGGAGCAGACGACCTCTGAAGACGAAGGGGCACTAAGCGACCTCCGAAATTCGTAGACCTCAATTTGGAAGACAACCTTTGAATACAAAACAACCAGAGTACGATCTCCGAAGACCACAAAATTTCATCAGGTTCTTCACTTCTGGTCTTTTTTATTCACTTTCATATCCAATGACGGATTTAAGGGGGGCAAGCACGGCATATGACAAATTTTTTGCAAAATTTACTTGATTTTTACTTATAAAAAATGCTAAAATTAATTTCTGCCCCATTAGTATGTAATTTTGCATTTTGCCCCCCCACACCATTGTTTCTAGATCTGTCCCTGTTTATATGTGTACGAGTATATTTATGTAACTTTAAATCCCTCTTGCTTTTGCTCTGTATTTGTTTTTGTATGGCATGTACATTGAAGGTATTTTGCTAATTGAATTCCTTATTGCATGTTAGTAGCTTCTTATGCTGAGTAGGTTATAGGAAATTAGGAACCCTCGGAGACAATATTGCTATTTCTCTGGTTTTCTAGGCTTCTCTTCATCTGTATTAGGTTTTGCATGTGTAGCTTTTAACTGGCCATTTAAAACCTTTAAAGCCTATTATGAAAGGTCTACTTTCTTGAGTAAATCCTATTTGAAACCTTTAAATAGGATTTCTGGCGGGCTACTACAAATTAATGACCTTGTGTTCTCATGTTCCCGGGTTCTCATCTATATTTGAATTTATTTGTTGCTTGTTAGCTTGCTATTCAAAGGTTGGAACTTGCGAAAATTCATTGCCAGTTTATAATTGCAATGTCAAACAATGCAGTGAAGATTGAGCTTTTAGAATGACATTTTTTTAGGCTGGTGATGTTCTTGGCAATGGCTTACAGGTCTATGGATCACATATTTCCTTCATTATTCAGTTTGTGGTATGTATCTTCACACGAACTATTCAAATTCAGTTATGGTGCTGTGAGGTAAGTAAACGTGATGATTTGAATTTCTTAATTACTTAGTTCTATTTGCTGGGTAACTTAGACATAAGCATTTGATTGTAGACGATTACTGAATTCAATTAACATAAAATTATGCTTTCTGTTCCTTATTCATGCGGTGGGAATAACTTGGGTGAATATACATTAACTGTCTTGTGAGCCATATACTTGGATGTTGTAATAAATATTCTTGTCCTAATATATTCTCATGGAGGGGTTTGGTGTTATAGAATCTCACTTGTAAACAGTCAAAACTAGTATTAACATTGTTATTTATTTTAAATATACTAATTTACATTAAAAATGAAATTTATTAAAATTAAATTCTAAAAATTATGCCTAAAAAATGAAGTTGTAATAACTTGAGAATAATATTTTCTTAATGTAAACAAAACTTTTATAGCTGTTGGAATCATGTTTTTTTGTTATATAAAATTTATTTGTCCCCTTTGTATGATAGAAGAGGATTTTATTTGCATAATTAAAGAAAATTATTTTTTTAATTATTATTTTTCCCCATTATTTAGTTAAGAAATATATTTTTTTTAAAATTTATAAATTACATTAAAAGTGAAATTTATTACAATTAAATACTAAAAATTAGGTCTAAAACATAAAATTAATATTTTCTTAATGTAAGCAAAACTTTTCTAGCCGTTGGACTCATGCTTTTTCATCATATAAAATTTATTTATCACCTTTGTATGATAGAAAAGGTTTTCATTATAAAATTATTTATTTCCATAGTTGAACACAATAATTTTTTTAAATTATTATTTTCTCCGTCACATTTTTTTTAAAATTTATTGTAAATTGATAAAATATGGATCAAATAAAATTTTTAGTGGGGACAAGTGCAATATTTCAGGGTGAAGATGAAATTTTTTGTTAGGGGAGGGGGCAATTGAAATTTTTAAAGACACTACATGTAATTTTGTCTTTGCCTTGTGGGGCTATTGCCCCCATAAGTAGGTCCTTCCCTTCCACTAAATGCCATTCTCATTCTGTGATTTAATTGTTGCGGAGAGGTGGATGTGAAATGCTACTTGATCCTTATGAAATCTAGGGCAAAAATAGTCCTTGACTGGCATGAGGGGAGATCTTGCCTCATCTAACAAAATAGTGTCGATTAAGGTTTTGATTGAGTCTGTGGATTGGTGAGGGCGATTCTTATGACACGAGGAAATGAACAATAGAGTAGTTAATGAACTTATTATTCCTATTCAAGGGAATTCTCACAGATTATAGGGTGGTCCATTGCAATTCTTGAATTGTTTATGCACTGTCAATCTCTGTGCGTTCCTTAACTGTCATTTCCATAAATGTCAAGGGATCTCATCCTCTCCTATCTATGCAGCGCGTCACTACCTTTCCTAGGATGCTATGCTTTAAGATCGGGCTGTTTCCCCTTCCACGCTCAAGGTCTTCTCATCCAGCCATATTAAAACAGTAATTTCCCAATAGTTTTAGCGAAGCCTTAGACATTGCCCTTGCATCTTTGCATTTTTCGTTTTAGATTGAGTGATTCATGTTGTGTGTGAAGTGAATGTGCCTCCATATTAGCCATTTGAGTGGCATGAAGGGAGATCCTGCCTATTGTAAAAAATGGCATCGATTAAGGTTTTGATTGAGTCTGTGGATTGGTGAGGGCGATTCTTATGACACGAGGAAATGAACAATAGAGTAATTAATGAACTTATTATTCCTACTCAAGGGAATTCTCACAGATTATAGGGTGGTCCATTGCAATTCTTGAATTGTTTATGCACTGTCAATCTCTGTGCGTTCCTTAACTGTCATTTCCATAAATGTCAAGGGATCTCATCCTCTCCTATCTATGCAGCGCGTCACTACCTTTCTTAGGATGCTATGGTTTAAGATCGGGCTGTTTCCCCTTCCACGCTCAAGGTCTTCTCATCTAGCGATATTAAAACAGTAATTTCCCAATAGTTTTAGCGAAGCCTTAGACATTGCCCTTGTATCTTTGCATTTTTCGTTTTAGATTGAGTGATTCATGTTGTGTGTGAAGTGAATGTGCCTCCATATTAGCCATTTGAGTGGCATGAAGGGAGATCCTGCCTATTGTAAAAAATGGCATCGATTAAGGTTTTGATTGAGTCTGTGGATTGGTGAGGGTGATTCTTATGACACGAGGAAATGAACAATAGAGTAGTTAATGAACTTATTATTCCTACTCAAGGGAATTCTCACAGATTATAGGATGGTCCATTGCAATTCTTGAATTGTTTATGCACTGTCAATCTCTGTGCGTTCCTTAACTGTCATTTCCATAAATGTCAAGGGATCTCATCCTCTCCTATCTATGTAGCGCGTCACTACCTTTCCTAGGATGCTATGCTTTAAGATCGGGCTGTTTCCCCTTCCACGCTCAAGGTCTTCTCATCCAGCCATATTAAAACAGTAATTTCCCAATAGTTTTAGCGAAGCCTTAGACATTGCCCTTGCATCTTTGCATTTTTCGTTTTAGATTGAGTGATTCATGTTGTGTGTGAAGTGAATGTGCCTCCATATTAGCCATTTGAGTGGCATGAAGGGAGATCCTGCCTATTGTAAAAAATGGCATCGATTAAGGTTTTGATTGAGTCTGTGGATTGGTGAGGGTGATTCTTATGACACGAGGAAATGAACAATAGAGTAGTTAAGGAACTTATTATTTCTACTCAAGGGAATTCTCACAGATTATAGGGTGGTCCATTGCAATTCTTGGATTGTTTATGCACTGTCAATCTCTGTGCGTTCCTTAACTGTCATTTCCATAAATGTCAAGGGATCTCATCCTCTCCTATCTATGCAGCATGTCACTACCTTTCCTAGGATGTTATGGTTTAAGATCGGGCCGTTTCCCCTTCCACGCTCAAGGTCTTCTCATCCAGCCATATTAAAACAGTAATTTCCCAATAGTTTTAGCGAAGCCTTAGACATTGTCCTTGCATCTTTGCATTTTTCATTTTAGATTGAGTGATTCATGTTGTGTGTGAAGTGAATGTGACTCCATATTAGCCATTTGAGTGGCATGAAAGGAGATCCTGCCTATTGTAAAAAATGGCATCGATTAAGGTTTTGATTGAGTCTGTGGATTGGTGAGGGTGATTCTTATGACACGAGGAAATGAACAATAGAGTAGTTAATGAACTTATTATTCCTACTCAAGGGAATTCTCAAAGATTATCGAGTGGTCCATTGCAATTCTTGAATTGCTTATGCACTATTGATTTCCTTATGTTCCTTGATTGTCATTTTCATAAATGTCAATAGACTTTGTCTTCTCCTATACATGCAGTTTGTCACTATCTTTATTAGAATGCTATCGTTTAAGATTGGGTGGTTTTACCACAGGTGCTCACAGTCTTCTCATCTGGTCATTTTAAAATGTTAAATTCCTACTAGTTTTAGTGGATTTTTAATTTTAATATTACTTACTTTTTTCATCATGCCAAGTCTATTTTTTTCAGCTTTTTATTTTTAATATATTTATTTATTTTTTATATAATTGTTTACATCCAGATCATCCACTTGAACTATTCACTAATAATTTATATGTTGATAACTACTTGATTATAATATATCTATTTTAGTTTTTATTAAATTTAAGTTTGTTATATAAAAATAATTTATATCTATTGATTGCACATGTAATCACTTTTGGGTAAAGTTTTCTGAATTTCTTGGAATATTATTTGCAAAATATTGAAATATTTATAGTCTTATTTTAATTAGATATTGCTGTAAAAAAGAGGACAGTAAATTTTCACAAATAGGGTGATTAAGTAAATTTTTTTTATGTAAGGATATTTTTGAGTTTTAAATAAATTTAAAAACTTAGAAATTAATGGAGAGTCAAGTTTTGAATATAAAATTATATATTTTGGGAAGTTAGGATAATTTTTTAGGGTAAAAATGCTATTAAAACGAAAGTTTCATTAATGAATTCCAGAAACCATTATCATGTTTATATTTCATCAAAACGACCTCATCCTGTTTCCTTCTATTTTTTCTTTTCTTATCAGCACAAACTGATTTTTCTATTCTGCTCAGCATGAAGAAAACCAGGGAAGAAAACACTTAAGCACTAGGCCACCACTCTTTCCCTTTCTATGTCAAATTTCTGGTACTCTTCATTAAACTTCTCCATTCCCCCTTTTCATTTCCCTGCACCAATTTAAGTCAGGATTGAGGATGATTTTTTGGGGTTCTTGATGCTAGCAATTTTGAGCTTGAGACATGTTAAAGATTGAAGCAAGTGGAGGTTGTTTTTAGCTTTTTTGTCAAGGTCATCTCTTCCTCTTTGAACTTCTGGTTTGTTCGTTTATAATTTTTTGGGTTTGTTTGGATATGAAATTGATTCTATTTAAGAGGTTATTGGGACTAAATGATGAAAGTTTGGTTGTTAGGAAATAAGGTTTTCAGAATGCGGAATTGTATATTTACTTTGGCAGGAAATTTTGGTGAATTAGTATGATAAAATTTTATGTAACATGTTCATGCACATGCAATTTATTTACGACTTGGAGTGTATTAGGATTTAAACTGATGAGGATGTTAAATCCATGGACGAAGGAGAATATGGTTTTTGGAAATATTTTCTTTTAATCCTCATGTGTGCTATTGTTTTAATATTTTCAGAAAACTTGAATTGTGAGTTTTGATGTTGATTGTAGCCATATTTCAAGCTAAACTTTATTTTAAAAATTTATATGCAAAGCTGATCCTATTTATTTATACATGAGATGCACATCTCATAAGTCGTAAGCTTTGAGGCTGAAGGATTTTGGAGATATGTATATGTGAATTATTGATGAGTTTTTCGTTGTTTCATGGACGGATAAATGATAAAGTAATATATTTTTCAAAAGTGATGGTACACGTGTGCATGCACAACGATTAGATGCATGTTCATATTTTTTTAATTTGCTAGATTATTATGCAGGATTGGTTAACTGGTGTGATGAATTAAATGTAATTTAAGTAACAAGCTGTCTTTTCTTTTATGCTATTGCTTAGAATCAAATCGAGGTTAATATATGAATATAAACTGTGAGTGTGGTATGCTCAGTTTGTTACTAAGCTACACACAGCCTTTTCCGTTCTTCTGTAATTTCGTGTCATTAATAAGCTAATATGTTTCATAGTTTTGATTCAGAGGCAATGAAACTTACGTTTTGAGATCATATCTTCTCACTCACATGCTTCTAACTTTTCTGTCTTTCGTTTTTTTTAATATATGAAGGTGGGGCGGTGAATGAGATTCCTATTGTAAGAAAATCTGGTTCTGCTCTAACTGGGCAGAAAACTTGTTTGCACATACGTCCAGGTAAGAACACTACCTAAGCTTGTTAAATTCAGTGATTAACAATATTTACAAGTGGTAGCAAACATTGTTGTTGTTTTACATAATACATTATTAGGACTATATTCATTTGGGCTCCTCCTCTTCCTCCCCCGCCTCCTAGTTGTTATCTTAAATAATACATTATTACCCTACATGGATGTGCCATGTGCTAATATAACTCTTCAGTTGGATCAAGATGGTAAGAGAAAGTGCATAATTGTTGTTGTCAATTTGTTCTCAAGCAATTGTAGGCATCTTTATTTTAAACTTATTTTATTTCATCCTTCTGAACTTCTGACAAACGCGTGTATGTTAGGATAATATCTGATGTGATAACGTTTATCAGGTAGGGAGTGCTGAATATGATGTTTTTGAATTGTTAAATTTTCTTCGGTGTTCACGCCTTGGAAATATTTTACATTGTGTTTAGTGGCTTAATAATCAAATGAATTTTTCTTGACATTGCATTAGAGATGTGTATGCGTATGAGAAAAGAGAAATCTGCATCACTTGAGAAAGCCTTGAAGGCATCTTTAATCAAATTTGGACGTCTCTGTTATATTCTGTTACGTGGCGATATTTGTAATACTACAAATTATGATTTAGGAAGCTTTTCTTGAATTTGCGCTACTCAAAGTCAACATTAGTTTGACGAGATGTGGACATGGCTTAAGCTTTTGTAAGTGCAGGAGAACCGATGGTCATCATTATAAGAGGAGTTATTTGTGATGATATATTTGTATCCTGATATTTTATATTTATTCTGTCTTTTGTTGCGTAACAAGTGTGTGCAATAACACATATATGCACATGCTGATGGTATGTAAATGCTAAACTGATAACAATCCTAAATTATTGGATGCCTTTGCCTATTTTCAGGATTTCATGTGCGTGATTTTTTCCATGTAGGCAATCTACTAGTGGTATAGCCTGATTATAGTAAATTCTTCAGAAAAATGATCTTAGTTTTATACAATGCAGTGAAGATTGAGCTTTCAAAATGGCACATTTTTTTCCGGCTGGTGATGTTCTTGGCAATAGCTTACAGCTCTATGGATCACGCATTTCCTTCATTATTCAGTTTGTGGTATGTGTCTTCACACGAACTATTCAAATTGAATTATGGTCATGTGACGTAAGTAAACATGATGATTTGAATTTCTTAATTACTTAGTTCTATTTGCTGAGTTGTTTAGACAATCATTTGATTTTAGACGGCTACTGAATTCAATTAATATAATTTTATGCTTGCTTTTCCTCATTCATGCGGTGGGGATAACTTGGGTGAAGCTATAATATGCATTAGTTGTCTTGTGAGCCATATGCTTGGATTTCGTAATTAGGTAGTGGGGTCAAATTTTAAGACTAGCATTAACATTGTTATTTATTTTAAAAACATAATCTTAAATTTATTAAAAGTAAATACTAAAAATTGTGCCTAAAATAAAATAAGATTATAATAACATAAAAAATAATATTTTCTTAATGTAAGCAAAACTTTTATAGCGGTTGGAATCTTGCTTTTTTAATTATATAAAATTTATTTATCTCCTTTATATGATAGAAAAGGATTTTGTTATGAAATTATTTATTTATATTATGAAAAAAATTATTTTTTAACTATTATTTTCTCCAATATTTATTTTAAAAATATAATATTAAATACTAAAAATTATGCCTATATCGTAAAAATAATATTTTCTTTGTGTAAATGAAAACTTTTATAGCTATTGGAATCATGCTTTTTTGTTATATAACATTTATTTATCTCCTTTGTATGATAGAAAAGGTTGTAGTTATAAAATTATTTATTTGCATAAAGAAGACAAAAAAAATTTTAAATTATTATTTTCTCCATTATAAAATTTTTTTTATTTAACTTTATAACAAATAGATAAGATTTGGATCAAATGAAATTTTTAGTGAGGACAAGTGCAATTTTTTTAGGATGAAAATGAAATTCTTTTTTGGGGGGAGGGTGCAATTGAAATTTTAGAGGGGCCAAATGAAATTTTTAAAGACACTAAGTTTAATTTTATGTTGGCTTGTAAGGGCAATTTTTCTTGTGATGTAAGATGGAGGTGTTTCCTTGCTTTTAAATGTTGTTTTAATCAAGTGATTTAATTGTTGTAGTGAGGTGGATGTGAAATGCTATTTGCCTCACAAAATCTAATGCAAAAATGGTTCTTGAGTGGCATGAAGGGAGGACTCACCTTACCTAACAAATAGCATCAATCAAGGTTTTCGGTAAGTCTATGAATTGGTGAGGGTGATTCTTATGACATGAAATGAACAACGGAGTAGTGAATAAACTGATTATTCCTACTCAAGGAAATTCTCACAAACTATCATGTGGTCCATTGTAATTCTTGGATTGTTTATACACCATCAATCACTCTGCCATATTATATTAGTAAATTTTCAGTAGTTTTATTGGAGTCTTAGACATTGTCCTTGCATCTTTACATTGTTCTTTAGATTGGGTGATTGATGTTGTGTGGAGTAAATGTGATTCATTATTAGCTACTTGAGTGGCTTAAAAAGGAGATTCCGCCTAAGACAAGAAAATGGCATTGATTAAGGCTTTGATGAAGTTTGTGGTTTGGTGAGGGTGATTTTTATGACATTATGAAATGAAAAACGAAGTAGTGGATAAACTTACTATTCCTAGGGAGATCCCGCCTAAGCTTAAAAAGTGGTATTGATTAAGTTTTTGATTAAATCTGTGGTTTGGTAAGGGTGATTCTTATGACATGAAGAAATGAACAATGAAGTAGTGGATAAATTGGTTATTCCTACTCAATGGAATTCTCAAATTATCAGGTGGTCTATTGTAATTCTTAAATTGGTTATGCACTATCGATCTTTGTATGTACCTTGATTGTCATTTCCACAAATGTCAAGAGATCTCATCCTTTCCTATCCATGCTATGTGTCACTATCTTTATTAGGATGCTATGGTTTAAGACTAGGCGGTTTCACCTTTAGTGCTCACAGTCTTCTCATTTGGCCTTATTAAAATAGTAAATTTTCAATAATTTTAGTGGAGTCTTACACATTGTCCTCGCATATCTACGTTTTTGTTTTAGATTGAGTGATGGATGTTGTGTGTGGAGTGAGTGTGAATTAGTATTAGCCACTTGAGTGGCATGAAGGGGGACCCCGCTTAATCTAAAAAATGGCATCAATTAAGGTTTTGATTATGTCTGTGGTTTGGTAAGGGTAATTCTTATGACAAAGAAATGAACAACGAAGTAGTGGATAAATGGAATTCTCACAAATTATTGAGTGGTCTATTGCAATTTTTGGGTTGCTTATGCACTATAGATTTATGTGTGTTCATTGATTGTCATTTACATAAATGTTAAGAGACGTTGTCCTCTCCTATGTATGCAGTGCATCACTACCTTTATTTATTTATTTATTTTTTTGAATGAGAAAGGCAAGCTTGGGGCTTGAAAAGATTACACAAAGAGAACCTGGATAACCCTTAAACTGTTCTCATGTAAAAATACATTATAATTAGTAGGAAAATCAGTAATAATAGTTATCCAATCTGCTAGCTCCATGACTGTCTCTTACAATAAGATCTGTACATTTAGCAAACTTATACACATGATGAATGTTAACCTCCATAATACCTTGTAAAAGGTTGATCGTGGAATTCATTTTTGCCCTCTAAGGATCACTCTTAGTTTTAGATTCCATCTGGTGGTCGAGGCCCAGGGAGAAGATGTTTTGAGGAGGGTGTGATAGAGATGGACGTATCAGAAGGCATCGACTGGGGCAGAGGCACAAGAGGCGGAAATTCCTTCTTATCCACGATTAGCTTGCAATTAGTGTGGGCTAAAGAGCCACTTACCACTACATGGGTTCTCTGGGCCATAATTCTTTTGTCTTATTTGACTTTATTTCCTATGGATTTGAATCCATTTTCTAGCCTATTATTGGCTGAACTTGTAGGAGGAACTTTGTCAATCAAGCCTGATGGGTTAGGTCTTATAGTTTCCTTACCTTTTGCTACACAAATCCTTTTCCCACTATTCGGGTCCTTTCTACGAGACTTATCTATAGTGTCAGAAGTAGACCTTCCCACATTTGTGTCAAGGTTAGGTTGACTTAGGTTATCATAATCATCCCTTAAGCCTGCAAGGGCTACATAACTTGAAGAAATCCAACTGTCATCAACTTTTTCCCCTTGAGCCGTGTTTTTTCCCCTAAAATTTGATAAGAACTCAGAATGATAAGGAAAGCAAATAAATCTATTAAATAAATTAGAGCAAGAATCTCACTTTAGAAATATTTAATAGCCAGAGTAGGAGAATCTCTAAGGGAAATAGTATTTTATTTTTTGAATGTCTAGCTATGATGAAAGCAACCTCATTTATAATGAGGAATTACACCAAAATAATAAATTAATAATAAGAAAATATCCCAACATATCCGGGATAATAACTGACTCAAATAGAAATTGACTTAAACAGACATGGGTGAACCACATATCAAAAGTTGATCCACTTATTTTGCCAGCTAACTGAAAATGAAATAATTAAATTAAAATGAATTTAATTCTGCATAACTGACTCTAACTTCTTCCCCTTTCTTCTCTGATAAGTCAATAGTAGACGTCCATGTTGACGCAGCATGCTATTAGTACCCCCTCCTGAAAAATAGACTTGTCCTCAAGTCGAAAAGTGGGGAACTGAATGGCTATTAAATCATAGTCTTCCTAGCTTGCATCTTTAAGTGGACAGTGATCCCATTGAATTAAAATTTCCAAAATACCTCCTGGTGTCCAGCGATGATTCAGTACCTTTAAGGGAGTAAGGAGGAGCTCTAAATTTGCTAAAAGAGGAAAAGGTGCTGGTGGTGAAGATGGTTGCTGCCCTTGAGTAGGCTGAAGTAGGGAGACGTGAAAAATAGGGTGCATCTTAGACTCAGGAGGCAAGTCAAGCTCATAAGCAACTGTTCGCATGCACCTCACAACTGTCTAAGGTCCAAAAAATCAGGGGGACAATTTTTCATTCTTACACCTAGCTAAGGACTTTTGGCAATAAGGTTGAAGACGTAGAAAAACTGCATCCCTTGGTTGAAATTGAAGGTCCTGCCTATGTTGATCTGCTTGTGCTTTCATCCTATCTTGTGCTTTCTTTTAGTTATCACATAGTAGTTTGAGCATGGCGTCACATAGCTCCAGTTGCTCCTCTAAATCTGCAACTAATGTTTCTCCCTTTACATAAGGGCATAAAGGAGGAGGATCACGCCCATAAACTAATTTAAAGAGAGTAGTGTTTGCTGAAGAGTGAAAGCTGGTGTTAAATGAGAATTCAGCGCAGCAGAGAAATTTACTCCATAATTTAGGTTGCTCATGAGTAAAGCACTGTAAATAGGTCTCCAAACAGCAATTCACTACCTCGATTTGGCTATCGAATTGTGGGTGATATGCTGTACTCATGTTTAAGCGTGTATGCCTCAAATAGAAGAGTTCTTGCCAAAAAGCACTTAGAAAAATGGAGTCACGATCTGAAACGATTGACCGAGGAATATCATGCAAACGTACAATCTCTTGACAAAATAAACCAGCCATAGCTTTTGCAGAATAAGGGTGTGGCAAAGCAATGAAATGGCTGTATTTACTGAGCTGATCAACCATCGCCAAGATAACATCAAAACCTCTAGACTTTGGGAGCCCTGTGATAAAGTCAAGAGATACGTCCTCCTAAATTCGCTTTGGAATAGGGAGTGGGTTAAGGAGTCTAGTAGGAGCAAGAGTTTCATATTTATGTTGTTGACAAATTAAACATCTTTATACAAAATGTTTAACATCTGTTTTCATACCTCACAAATGCACACTTGATCCTAATCGCTTCAAGGTCTTTAGGAACCCTCTATGACCACCCGTTGGCGTCGCATGAGCTTCTTTCAAGAATTTAGCTCGTAATTGAGCAACATTTGGAACCACAAGTTGTCCCTTGAAATATAATATGCCTTCCACCAAGCTATGATCTGGGTGAGAATGTGGATTTGTTTGTAATGCATCCATAATAGCTTTGGTTCCAGAGTCTGTCATTAATGCTGCAGGAAGTTGCTATAAGGCATCTGCTAAAGGGATGACAATCTGGAAAAAAATCAGCATGTTGAGGCCTTCGTGATAGTGAATCAGCTGCTGTATTGTCCTTTCCTGCATTGTATATGATGGTAAAATTGAAAAGAAGAAGCTTTAGCATCATTCACTGTTGGGAATTGGTGAGGATGTGCTGTTCCAAGAGGCACTTATGGCTGCAGTGATCAGTTTGGACATAGAAATGGCAACCAAGTAGGTAATGGCGCCATTTTTGAATTGCAAGCACTAGAGCCAACAGCTCCTTGTCATATATGGACTTATACTTATTGGAAAAAGAGAATCCCTTGTTGAAATAAGATATTGGATGTCCTTCTTGAACTGGGACAGCACCGATACCCTCCATTGAAGCATCACACTGAATCGTGAAAGGAAGATGAAAGTTTGGTAGTTGCAGCACGTGTGGTGGTCATTACTAATTTTAATGCCTCAAAAGCTTTTTGTGCCTGTTCAGACCAATAAAAAGAATTTTTCTTGGTTAGTTCAGTCAAGGGTCTAGCAATAATACCATAGTTTTTGACAAAACGCCTGTAATAACCAGTGAGCCTTAAGAACCCACGGAGTTCTTTTACAGATTTGGGAGCGGGCCATTGCTTCACTGTAGTTTATTTGATCAGAATCTACTTTAACCCCTTAGGCAAAAACCATATAGCCCAAGTAGCTAATTTGAGTTTGGCCTTACGAGCATTTTTTGGCATTGGCAAAGAAGGATTGCTTTTGTAGAATCTAGAATACTGCTCTCAGATGCTGTAAATGTGGTTGTGGGGAAGCACTATAAACTAAGATGTCATCAAAAAATACTAGCACAAATTTCCGTAAATAAGGCCTAAATAAGTCATTCATAATATACAGGAAGGTAGCCGGTGCGTTAGTTAAACCAAATGGCATAACTAAGAATTCGTAGTGGCCTGAGTGAGTGCAAAAAGCTGTTTTATGTACATTCTTCGGTAGAACAGGGATTTGATGATATCCAGACTGTAAATCGATTTTTGAAAAGTAGACAGCCCCATGCTACTCATTTAAAAGTTTATCGATATTGGGAATAGGGTACTTATTTGGTATGGTAATTTGATCAAGACGCTGGTAGTCAATGCAGAGGTGCCAAGAACCATCCTTTTTACCAACTAGTAACACAGGACTGGCAAATGGACTGGTGCTAGGTCGTATGAATCCACATTATAGCAAGCTCTCAATTTGAGCTTTAATCTCATCCTTCTGGTAATGAGGGTAACGATATGGCCGTAGATTAGTAGGTGTAGCATTTAGGAATAGCTTGATAGCATGGTAATGATCTCAGGGTGGTGGCAAGCACCCTGGCTCAGAAAAGACATAAGCAAAATCATAAAAATTTTTGTCAATATTCAAGTGTCCTGATGCATCCCTTTCACTTGATTCCTGAGTAAGAAGCATGCTATGGAGATGGATAGAAGCATCACTGTTAGTAGGTAGGCCTTGCAGCTTATATTTCTCCCCATTTAGCTAAAAAATCATACTCATTTTGTTCCAGTTAGCTTGCACAGTGTTCAATAAAGCCAACCATTTAATACCCAGTACCAAATCAGAACCACCCAAGGAGAAAGGGTAGGAATCTTGCTGAATAGTTAAATTAGAAATTGTTACCTCAATCTTTGGGCAAACTTGATGGCATTTCACTCTGCTACCATTACCAATTTGAGCTCTAAAAGTTGGAACAGTTTGTACGGGGAGTTGCAATTCGAATACTACTGTGTTTGAGATGAAATTGTGTGTGGAGCCATTATCAACTAAAATCAGAACAGTACGACCCTTGAGCATGCCTTGAAGTTTCATTGTGGCTGCTGAATGCTGTCCTCGAATCGCATTAAATGAGATTTCGGCCTCCTCTGGCTCCATTTTTGTCTTGGCTTCTTCGTGTAAGGGAGGTAGAATTTCTTCACCTTCTTTAAAAATTTCCAGCAAAGAAAAAGAAGCATTGCAGCGATGCCCAAGTCGGAAGATAGCCCCACACCGGAAGCACAGACCCTTATCTCGCTAGTTTTGACGTTTTGCATCTTCGGGAGAGATTCTTGTAGCTGTTGAGGAGTATATAGGCGTGATTGAGGCTGAAGAAGCTGGTTTGAAGGGATACGTAGATGAAGCCAGTGAATTGGAGTCTTTGAAATTGTGGAAATCACGTGCAAATTGGGACTGATTTAGGCGATTTTGAGTGTATGAGGAATTGGGCCTGGGTCCACGCTCATTTTGGGCCTTTCTCTCAAATTTCAGGGCCAAACTTGCAGTTTTAAACACTGTTCTAGGTTTCTGAATGCATACATCAGTTTTTAATTCTTCCTTGAGGCCACCCATAAAAATACCCAAGAGGCAGTGCTCTGGCCAGTTGCGAACTCGTGCTACCCACTTAGTAAATTCTTGACGGTATTCCTATACTGATTTGGTTTGCTTAATGGTCGCAAGGTGTTCATCTAGATTTTGATATTTAGGAGGCCTATAGTGCTCTTGTAGTGCCTTGACCAACTCATCCTAGTACAACAAGGTGCGTTTTGAATTTACCTATGAGAATAAATCTAAAGCATCTCCTTCTAGACTCATTAAAGCAACATCTACTTTCAATCTTCCGGTGTTTGATAATACTGAAAAAAAAATTCAGCCGTCAAAATCCATCCTCGGGGTTCTCCTCCACTAAAGTTTGGAAATTTAATTTTTGTATACAGTGGATGTGGGCCCCTTCGGTCATAGTCATCTTTACCATCATCTTCCCAGTGTGAGCGCCTATAGTGGCTCTCCATGGTTCATTTGCCTTTACTCGTCGCAGAAGCCTTAAGGGCCTCTATCTTCTCTTTCAACAAATCAAGTGTCTAATTTGGAAGCAATTGCTGTTAATGGATCTTCTGAAAATGGATTGACTACAGATTCATTGCATGGGAGGTTATTGGAGGAAGTGGCATTGGGATCAATGGTTTCATTAATGGAATGTGTGGTCATCATGTTGATCGAATGTGGCTCGGATACCAAATTGATAAGAACTCATAATGATAAGGAAAGCAAATAAATCTATTAAATAAATTATAGGAAGAATCTCACTCTAAATATTTAATAGCCAGAATAGGAGAATCTTCAAGGGAAATGGTATTTTATTTTCTGAATGCCTAACTATGATGAAAGCTAGCCCATTTATAATGTAGGAATTACACCAAAATAATAAATTAATAATAAGAAAATATCCCAACATATCTGGGATAATAACTGACTCAAACAGAAATTGACTCAAACAAACTTAACATGGGTGAACCATATATCAAAAATTGATCCACTTATTTAGCCAACTAATTGAAAATGAAATAATTAAATTAAAATCAATTTAATTCTGTATAACTGACTCTAACTTCTTCCCTTTTCTTCTTTGATAAGTCAATAGTGGACGTCCATGTTGACACAGCATGCTATCAATCTTACCTACCCTTATAGCATTTTTGATGCACGAAACGAAGATGAGTAGGCTTCGGCGGAAACATCCAAGTCCTGAATATTTCCCCTGCTTTACGTAGCTTACTCAATGGCAACAAGCAGGGTGGTGGAATAGCAGTAGTTGGGCTTGAAGCTTGAGAAGATGACGGACCTGATATCTATGGACATACTTCCTTTTAATGTCCATATCTACCATAGGCAAAACAAATTAGACCAAGTCCGTCATTTTCCACGTTGAAGAGTGCAGAAGCCAAGATAATTAGAGGCACCGATTTCTTTTGCAAGTTGAGCTCGACACAGATCCTAGCATATCTCCCTCGTTCAACTTTAGCTCTTGAGGCATCCGCATCTATAATGGTATTCATATCAACTTCGATAGTTTGATCGATCATGTCACCCAATCTCCATATGAAGCTCTTAATGTGATGCTTGGGAATGTTAGGAATGCGAACCTAGGTGGTGATTCTTCCCAAAGAATTATGGAAAGGATCAAAATATGGTCTCCATTGTTGAACAAGCACACAATGCTGTGCAATAAACCAAGGTCCTTCAAATAAGACTTTTTTATAGTGAACTGCCCAGTTGGTCTCATCAGTGAAACGAATGACATAGTAGTTGTTAGGAAGGTCAATAAGCTCGAATTCATTCAGGTGCCAGATTCTGCTCAAACACTCCTTGAGCTTTAGCAGAATGAAGCATGCTTCAAGAATAGTGATAACCAATGTGTTATTCCAGGGCCTGCACTAGTCATTAAACTCATTGTGAGAGACGGGGATGACAGGATAAATACTCCTAAGCTTTTTTTATTTCCTCTGAAGGTTTAGGTAGTTCCCACATTTGGTCAAGCAAGTATGAGATCAGAGGATCGTCTTCCATGACAGAACTTCCATAAGCAATGCCATTATAATCGATTCCTTTAAATCCTAAAAGAGATTCCTTGTATGAAAACTGCTTGTGATTGATAGTAGGACCTTGCTTTTCTTTAGATGGTTGTTCCAGATCAACATAAGTTTCTGCATCTTCCATTTTATCGGACATGATAGCATCTTCCTTGACCTCCTTATTTTTCTTAACACGATCATTAGGAGAGAGCTGTTCTGGAGGCCTGTCCAGCGGCATTTTCCGGTTGCATGTTTCTTCCATTGAACTCTCCAAAGATTGAGAGAGAGAGAGAGTTTATGAGGCGGGAATCACTGTAGCTAGTAGCTGAGAAAAGCTCATCACTACCTTTATTAGGTTGCTATCATTTAACATCAGGTACTTTCCCCTTTAGTGCTCAATATTCTTATCTGGTCATTTTAAAATGTTAAATTTCTAGTGGTTTTAGAGGATTTTTAATTTTAATATTACTTACATTTTTCATTATACCAAGTCAATTTTTTTAGATAATTTATTTTTAATATATATTTTTTTTCTACATAACAAATTTAAATTTAATATAAATTAAAATAGACCAATTATTATCAAGAACTTATAAGCGTATTAAATTATTTTAAAAAATTGGACTTTTTTACTTCTTTGCTCTGCTATTGATTGCACGTTTAATAACTTATTTTAAGTTCAAATATACGTACATGAATTTTTTTTTTTTTAAACTTTTGGGTAAAGTTTTCTGAATTTCTTGGACTATTATTTGCAAAACATTGAAATATTACAGTTTTGTTTTAATTAGATATTGTTCTAAAAATAGGAAATTATATTTGCAATCTTAATTTGGGTCAAATAGGGTGATTAAATAAAATTTTTTATGTAAGGAGTTTCTTGGGTTTTAAATAATAGGGAGTCAAGTTTTGATTATAAAATTATAAATTCTAGGAAGTTAGGATAAGTTCTATGGTAAAAATGTACATGGCTGCAGCCTCGCAAGAGCCGGGAGAACTTATGGTCATCATTGTAAAAGGAGTTATTTGTGAAGATATACTTGTATACTGATCTTTTTTATTTGTTCTTTCTTTTGTTGCGTCACAAATATGTGCAATAACACATGTATGCATATGCCGATGGTATGTAAAAGCTAAACTGATAACAATCCTGAATTATTGGATGCCTTCACCAATTTTTTCGGATATCATGCGCAAGATTTTTTCCATGTAGGCAATCTACAATTAGTACAGTTTGGTTAAAGTAAATTCTTTATTCAGAAAAAATGATCTTAGTTTGATAAAATGCAGTGAAGATTGAACTTTCACGATGGCACATTTTCCATGTACGCAAGATTATGTTTGTATGATTTTCTTTGCGATATGACTCTTGATTTTTGGTTGGATTATATAAATATAATTTTTCTTGTGGCTCGTTGGATTTCTTATATTTTCAGGATTTATTGCTTTTTTCTTTTAATGATGCCACTTACTTATGGATTACGAGCATGCAATGGAATGCATTTGCCTAACTGGTAGATTGCGATGTAATTTGTGCAGTTGTGCATCTGCTTGCTGTGTTTCATTCAGTAGTAGTATTTCTTTTTCTTATAGAGATTGTCTGAGCACATCCTTGTACTTCTGGGCCATCGTGAGCTATAGTATTTATTGGCCAAAAAGTGAATTAATAAAGGGAGACGTTGGTTGTTTCTCTATGTTTTTGGTACGATATCTAATTAAAATGATTTCACCAGCGTGTGATACATGTTTTTATTTTTCTCTTTTTTGTTTGCATGACGATTTCTTATAGTGGTTACAAAATTATATTGTATTTTTCTTTTAATGATGCCGCTCACTTGTTGAAGTGATAAATCTATTAAAGTTCTTTGTAGTGGAAATTGGCTCAGGAACAAGTATTTGTTGAAGAAAATAACTAGGAGTTATTTGTTTGTCTATACTTGTTGCATTGTTGGTTGCACTTTTGTTGGACTTGTCATTGATTTTTAACTAGCCCTTTTTTCATTGTGTAGGAGCCATCTAAACAGGAGATTATATTGAAATATTGATTGGTGTCTATTAGCTTTTGTTATGTTGTATTGTTCAATTTTGATTTAATGCTACTCTAATTATGTTTTTGTTTCCTAGTCTGCCATTAGGAGGACCGTTGTTTGGAATTTAGGTCTCACTATTTAAAGTAGTTATTTGAATTTATTAACCTATTATAAAGGTTAGATTTTGATTTTATGTTAATAACATGTAGGCTTTAAAGAGCCTATTTAAGCTTTCAAGGCCTAATCCCCTAGCCCTTTTTGAAAGTATATTTTTCTTATTCTTTTTTTAAATTATTTCTACTAACCTCATTAATATTAATGTGAAAAAAGTATGAGAAATAAAAGTATGTGAAATTTCAAATATGTTTATTATATAATAAATTCAAAAAGTAATATCATGTTACTTTCTCTTTTTCATAAGGGGTGATTTTAAAAATACCATTTAAATATTATTTAAAAAGTTATAAATCACAAGATTAAATAGATCTTTTAAAATGTGCTTTATTAATGAGATTGGGGGGATTATACATGCTAAATAAGTTCCAATATAGGCCAAGCATAGTGCTGTTAAAAGAAGAAAAAGAAAGAGAGAACTCGCATAAAGACTCAATCCTCAAGTTCCTATTAAATGTTAAGACTAGGGGTGCGCATCGGTCGGTTCGATTCAGTTCGGTCTCAAAATATGCAGAACCGATCGATTGAATAACACTGAAAATAAAAACCGAATCGAACTGAACAAGCCAATTGAACCGAACAAGGACCGAACTGAAATTTGATAATTCGGTTCGGTCGGTTAATTCGGTTTTTCAGTTTGGGCTTATTTTTTAAATATTAAAACAAACAATATTACAAAATTGGGCCTTTTTTTCTATTCGTTTTTTTAATATGAGCCCATTATAATTATACCCATATGACATAAAGTTTAAATATTATAAAGGCATGGATAATCAAATAAACAACCATAAATAAACACCGATGATCAAATAATAGCCTCATAATTCAGTCACAATACCTACTGATGAGAGTGACTGATTGAATTGGGGTTTCAAGTGATGTTATTATTTTTTATTCTTTATTAAAATAAAAAATAAAAATAAAAATAAAATAATTTATAAATTAAATATAATTTATAAATTAATAAATTATATGTAATTCGGTCGGTTTGGTCTATTCGATTTTAAATTTTACTAACCGAACCGATCAACTGAAATATTTAAAATAAAAAAAAACCGAATCGAATCGAAAAATTAAATAGACCGAATCAAATAGATAAAATTTGATTCGATGCGGTTTGATTTTCGGTTTCGATTCGGTTTTGCTCACCCTTAGTTGAGGTCCTTGTGGCCTAGTGGCATTGGCACTTCTCAGGAAGTTGTGTGCTTGATCCTCAAGATAGGAAAAAGTGGTGGGGCGTGTGAATATGGATGGGTGTGTGGCTATGATGAGTGAATGCCCTTTGCCAAAAACAAATCCTATTGAATGTTTGACCTATTTAGTTAAAGTTTGATTTGATCTAGCTCGTATCTTTTTTTGGTTTGCGTGGCTAGGAAGTAAAAAGGTTCATTATAAGTTGAGTTTTGTACTGTTCTTAATTATAGTTTATTTATTATTTTATTTTATTTTATTGAAAAAAATAACTTTAAATTTTTATACTTTACTCATGTTTTGTTATTCTTGCATTTTTTTAATATTTTAAGTCCTTATTCTTTTATTTTTTAATGTTTTAGGCTTCTTTATAAATAAAATGTATGGACCTTGAAGGGATTTAACACATCAAAAAATAAAAGTGTAGGGATTTAAAATATTAAAAAATGTAAGGATTTAAAATTATATTTTTCCCGTTCTTTTTATAATTTTATATAGCTTTATTAATTATTAAATGTAAAAAATTATTTTTTAAAGTTATAGTTTGGTTAATGTCTATTAGGAAGGGGAGAAGGAATGAAAAAGCTATTCTTCAATTTATTTTTAGTAAATCTAAGGAGTTGGCCACCAATAGCAAAGAATATCTCTTTTGAGGTAGTGAAAGCAATGTGTAGATCTATTTTAATTAAGTTGCTCATATGCAAAAATTGAGGTTTGCCTCCCTAATCATTTACTTTACTTAAATAATAAATGCTTTTACTAGTTATGTCAATTTTAGTTGGTAGTTATTTAATTTAAGAGAGAAAGAAATAAAGGGTATTTTTTAAAATGCGTTGCAAACATGTCAATAAATTTTGTGAAAGTCTTGTATTAAAAACTACAGAAAATATCATGTAAGGATCCTTAGAGGGTTTTTATGTCTGAGCTTAAAAATTTAAAATTTCACTACACCTCCCAAAGTACCTATTTAAAAATTTGATTTTGTAAGAAGATATTTATTTACTCCTAAAGTTTAATGATTTAATGATTTATTAATTATGTATGATTAGTTGTTAAAATTTGAATGAGTGTTTGTTTATGTAAAATTAATATTTATACAATTAAGTATGTGTTATTAATTATAGTTACTTTTTGATAAAGATACGAGTGAGTATTTATGGAATGAAAAAAGGTAAAATTATTAAATTTTAAAGGTTAATTAGAGGAAAAAAGTAATTTTATTTTGTTAATTCAAGCCTTAGATATAGTCAGAACTCAGATGCTACCTAATATGTACAGGCACTTTTTTTTTTGGCCAAATGTCCAAGCATATTTTCAAGCCAATCAAAACTTTAGGTGTTGAAGTTTAGTCCATGAAAAATAATAAAGTAGACAAAAACTCAAAATAAACTAGAGATTACTAAATCAATCTAAATTAACCTTAAACCTAATCTAAGTTCACCTAAACTATCTAGAAAAATTCAAACAAATAATAACCTTCGATAATTAACCTTAAACCCTAAATTTGAACTAATAAATAACTAATGAAAGCTAATTTGAATTATCAGACTCAAAAATTATGCAACTTAGTTGAAAGAACAACCTGATTACATTTGCTTAGGTGTCTAAGGTCATGGGCCTGGTTACCTATGGTAATTTCTTTTGGGCCACATACAATGAATTTGCTACGCTGAAGTATTGGTATTAAACACTAATTGGAATTTGGTCATGTTGGGCTTCTTCATTTGGGCTGTAAGTATGCGGCAGTGATTATTCTCGGTTGGGGGTATGCCCTTCGTTGAAAATATTGACTGGCTTAATGCGGATTGAAAACCAAGAATACTGAGGAGAGAGAGAGAGAGAGAGAGAGAGAGAGAGGGGGTGGGGGGAAGAATGGTTCGATAAATAGATATTTTCCATGCTTTGATCATCTTGTTTATCAAAAAAAAAAAACAATGATATATTCCATTCACTGAAAAAGATAGCACAACGCGTTTTATTTTTAAAATTTTCTGAAGGTAAAAATCAACTCAGTTAAATATGATATTATTTAATAATTAGCAAAGTAACAACTATTTACAAATATGCATCTATGCATAGATATATAAGAAAACAATCATAAATTAAGCTCTAATTAATCACCGTTCGACGGAAGATTGGGGGAGATATATCCAAACTTTAATGGCAAGTGTGAGTTTTACGCTGAGGTTTATTCTTCATTTTTCCCCCCTCACTGTCTATGCGCGTAGTTTTCTTCGTAAACAGAACACATTTCCAAAAAGAAAAAAAAAAGAAAGAAATTCACTGAACATTTCACTATACGTCAATTGAATACAATTAATTCTTAATCAAATAACAAGTGCGTCAAAATAAAATAAATACAAGTATATTTGGATAATCAATGTCCTAAAATGATTAACGGGGACAAGATCAATTGGAGCTGTCCGTTAAATTAAATCCTTTGGTTAGACAAAAGAAAGAGACAGAGACTAGAGGAGATGAGGGGTTAATGAACTATGACGTGGTTAGCCCACATGGTACAGAGAGCAAAAGAAATTGTGAGAAAAATGCCTATCTTCTTCAACACCACACTGAATCCTTTCCCACTTCTAGTGCTCACAAACCAAACCTTTTCCTTCTCATTATCCCACTTGATTTTCTCATCATCATCATATTCTCTCATTCTCTTCATGCTGTTATTGCAATTATTAGCAGTACCAATCCAACTTCTCCCCTTCACATCCTGATCAGAATCTGAATAATAAATACAATGCATTAGCAGAAGCGAAAGTATGAATATTATGGGACTTGATATTGTTTTCGCACAGGCCTTCAAGTTTCTAAAGAAAGAAACTGTGTCTATGCTCTCCACTGAGTGATAATTGTGCGCCATTATCACTGGATTGAGGTGAACCTTGAGGGTTTGTGAAGGAACTATTTGGTGAAAGAATGTGTCAGCTACTTGTCTTGTGGACACAAACATTCCATGGCTGACTTTGACTTCCTCAACCACCTCAAAGCTTGGAGAACTTGAATAATCGCCTTCTTCGTCTATGAAGTTCTGATTAGTGTCATCCTCGTTGATAAACTCTAATGAGATGTCGTTTATGTCAGTGTCATTGAGTTCCTTTCTTCTATTTTCTTGCTGATTATCACATTCTGCTGCATAGAAATGCTCTTGTTAATTTCTCAAAGACAAAATGTTATCAGCTGCATCCTTTTTATAACTATTTTAAACTGTTTATTACTAATCATTATCAATATATTTCTAGAAATTATTATATACTCAAAATCCGAATTATCCATACAAAACACATTTATTGAACGGACACTTTTTTAGCTTCTTAATAATGTTACTCATTTGTACCTTGTATTCTATCTATAATGATATTCTAAATGAGTCATAGAATTTTCAGTACCTTGCAGGAGTTCATTCCCCTCCCTGTTTGTTCGGAAACTTGAAATATCCTCGATCGGAACAATTTTTGACCTTCCGTTAAGCTCTGTAAGAACATTGGGAAAATATAACCATTAACTCTTCTTTTTGTCGACAGCCATTTATTAACAAAACAATTTTTTCGCCCTTAGCTCAATTAATTAGGACCCAAATTAATAGGTAAAATTATCTCGATCGGAAATATATATATATATATATATATGAGCATGGAAAAGGAATTATACATTATATATTATTCATGAATAACATGATCTATTATTTTTTTGTCTCTGTCCATTTACTTTATTTGTTATTTTACTATAGTGTAATTAATTCCCTTTTTATAGCGCCCCAGAGTTTCAATAGATTTGTACGCTAGTCCCATCCTACTTGCTATTAGTATAATTAGCATTAAATTTCAATGAACATTTATCTATACCGCTTGTAGAAATACAAATCATACC